CCCCAAAACCCCAAAACCCCAAAACCCCAAAACCCCAAAACCCCACTAGCTTCAAGGATTATTGAATTTAGAAATTATAATAAATATGAATTTATACCTGAACAATTTACAGGATTGCTCGAAGGAGGACTTCAAAGGGGTCGACCAAGATGTGTACCCAGCCATCATACAGGCTCCAGAACTTTATCATGCAGATGAGGACATACTTGAAATGAATAATTTTTATTATAATAGTAAGCCAAATTCTTAGTTTTGTCCCATTTGATATTAACTAATTCCAGGAATGAACAAGCAAAAGAAAAAGAAGAAACTATGCTGTGATAAAATACTATGCAAGAAGAAGACAAGTAAGCATTCAACCAATGTGGTTTAGACAGGATTGAAGAGATATCGAAATTAGTACCTAAAGAACAAACTCGCAGAAATTGGGAGGTTTTTAAGGAGAAAACTATTGAGTACCTTCGTATGCAGAAAATTATCAGAGGCGCACAGAAACTCAAACGAGGATTTGATAGGTCAGATTTGAATTTAGAGGAAGAACAGTATCGATTTCAGGACTTCTTGCTTCATCCAGAAAATTCTAAATAGAATATTTTTTGAAAACTTAATAGCTCTTATATACATCATTGATCTATATGCAAATATATACAGTTTGTGCTTTGAGGCAGACATTACTGTGTTTGACTTATCTATAATCCCGGTTTATCTCTTAGAAATATACATTTCATGAGTTTCAATGATTTGGCATGATATGATACTCATTAAAGACATTAAGAAGATATTAAAATAATTATTTAAAGAGAAATTTTATCGTTGACTTGATCAATATCCTACCTTTCTTTTTACTCAAGCGAGAGCTGAAAGCCCTCAAATTTATCAAAGCCAAAAGGTTGAGAATTTACTTCTCCAGAGTGTTGACAATGATCTATGAGTTCTGCTCCAAACGACTCAAACTTAAGGAGCACTCTTTGAAAGTTATAGAAAAGGGATCCAAGTTCCTCGCTGCATTATTCCTTACTTTACATGTAATCGCTTGTATTAACTCCTACTTTGGAAAGACACAAGAAGATGGATGGGTCAACAAGAACAAAGGACTACTGAGAGAAAATTACAACCATTTTGATATATACATAGCAGCAGTTTACTGGACAATGACCACTTTCACCACAATAGGATATGGAGATTTCACAGCCTCTACAAATTCAGAATATCTTATGCAATGCTTTATCATGCTCATGGGAATAGGCTTCTTTGGGTACATTGTTGGAAACGTCAGCACTATCTTCATGCAAGCTGAAAGCATTACCCATATCAAAAATATGTATGAAGAAGAGTTCAACCTTTGGCTTATTCGCCTAAACAAAGCTAAAAATTCAAAAATTATGCGAAATGAATACTTCACATATGGAGCTCGATGAGTAACTTCTAAATGGGACAAGGACTTTTGTGAGCTTAAAAATAATGAATTTTTCTCAAACCTTAAACCTAGGATTCAAAAAGAAACATCTGACCAACTTTTCTCGAGCGTTTACGATACCTATGATGGGTTTTTCAAAGGAACAGATAAAGGATTTATGAGGGCAATAGTGCATGCAATGAAATATGAAGTTCACGAACAATTTCCTCCTTATACTACTGATTACAAATAAACCGGCTAATCATATCCCAGTCGAACAAACTTGTAATATTATTCCCCAGGGTAAAATCCCAACTAAACTCATATTTGTTAAAGAAGGAGTAGTTTATGGAGGAAACTCTACTGGAAGGTAATTTTTGTTCAAATTCTCTAGGTATGTATATTTCAGGCTAAAATAAGGGGTCATACTTTGGTGAAGGCTACATACTTAACCAGAAGCCAAGTTCTTACTCTATCAACTACTTCAGAGATGAATCTGCCTGTCTTTTCTCTGTTGAAAACATTGATCTTGTCAGTATTTGTCAGTCTTACCCGAGCTCGTTTGAAAAAATAAGAAAAAGATCTATCTCAAGAAGAAGAGTTTTCAGAAAAATGAAATACAACTCTCTTAGAGAAATCATAACAGAAACTCTGCAAAAATAACTATAAATTTGGAGAAGATGCAGGAGTTGATCTGAAGTAAGTTTCTCTTTTTAACATCATAGCTCAATCAGGACTGCAATGTACAACGTAATCCTCAAAAATATATCTCTAAAGGAGACTATCTTGAGACAGGCATTTTTACAAAGCGCTAGAAATGAACAAAGGTACTTTCCTTCTTATACTTTAGTAATGATAGTCAAGATTCAATCTTCTCCGAGTTATCCGCAGGGAAATTCCAAGATGGTTCTGGTTCTCTATCTAAAGATACTTCTAGGAAGCTTAAATTTACAGATGAAGACCTTCCGAAAATTTCTCTCAATCCCATTGAGAAAGGAAGTAGATTACCTGAAGAAGAAAAAGCTCTGAATGAACAGCAGATTAATAGAGACTCAGAAACTATAAAATATCATGATACTATCACGCCTTTCAAAGAATATGATATTTATGGAGACATAGAAGGCATCAGCTCTGACTCAGACTGCAATGATGAGTCAATGTCAGTGGTAAAATAAAGTTCTTAGCAGAAACAAGAATGCTTCTCTAAGCCTCAACAAACACTGGGCAGGTGAAATAACTCCAAGCCAAAGAATTCCATTAGGTCTAACTAGGTAAGCTAATTTATTAAATCTAGAACACTAAATTTCGACAAGAAGATTAAATCATTCCAAAGTAATGGTGCTCATGCTACCTCCTCTTTTAAATAAAGAAGTACTCAGAAGTATCGACGATGAATCTGAGAGTGATTCAAACTTCAGTGGGGGTAGTAGTGAAGAATTCAACACAGCAGGCCCCATTAGAAACTCCACTTATTTCACCAAATCATCAAATGAAGATCTCCCAGCTATGAGCACCAACAAAGTTCACTCCTCCAAGAGAAAAGTAAGGATTCACATGAGACGATCAACTAACAAATACTACTCAATGAACAAGTTTGAACAACAAAATTTTGAAGAGACCAATCACAGAAGGTATCATGGAGATGGTCGAATAGGTCCAAACAAATTTTGAAGTCCTACTCTTTCGTCCAAAGAGGAAGAAGAGTTGTCTTACAAAGATACACTCCAAAACCAATTTGTCAAGAAATATATAAGCAAAGAAGATCTAAAATAGAAGGTTCTTTTACCTGAACAATGAACTGTATAACCTCTGAGAGGGAGAAGAACTTGAAGAAATCAAACGATACACTTCTCTAGCCAAGAATAGAAGGAAAAACGAAATCTTTGAGGAGGTCTTAATAGAAAGTGAGGATGATCTCGAATCTGAATTTGATCAAGCACTAAAAATCCTCCAATTTGATATAGACCCTGTCATCCATACTACTGAGATGGCTGAGAAAGTAACTAAGAGTTTGATTTCAGAAACCGAGGTATTTTCGCTTTATAATTTCTAGAAATCTTTAACAATTTGTTTGCTGAATACCTCCCTCTCTATGAACAAATTCAATGATCAAATAAGAGAGCATAAAGAATCTTTAAATAGATGCAAAAGAAGATCAAGTCATTTGACCTCAGAATCTCAGAAAATATTAAGAAAAAGCAAAATAAAGTACAAACTAGGAGAGCAGCCAACCTACTGCTCGAGAAGAGTAAGATTTTGATAAACTAGCAATTCAATCAAGGAGGCTTTAGCTGGGGTTTTGGGGTTTTGGGGTTTTGGGGGTTTGGGG